TTTTCTTTCTATTTTCTTCTGATTTTTGAATATATGTTGAAGCTACATTTGGTGGTTTTTTTTTTCAGCAGTTATGTATGTCATGTTTTGATAAATACTTTGAGGATGAGGCTTGAGTCATGTAAGATTGTTTTCTCATGAACTGGGTGACCATGGTTCGGGTGATGTAATTACTTATAGTGTAAGACTGACTTGTCTGCATATACTATCTCAGACCTTATATTAGTGGGAGTCCCATGTACTAATCTGCCTTCTTATTTTATATTAGATCTAAATATGATTTTGATTTCTACAGGGTTGTATGTGGCTTTAAAACTTCGGTTTTTAAATGTTGATGGTACTTGTCATTGGAGTGTAAATTCAGATTTTCACATATATCAAGCGCATCTGGTATTCTTGATTACTAGTTCTGTTGGTTGTTCAAGTAAAATGTGGTGCTATGTGTGACTAATAAATGTCATCAATCATTCTATTTGTCCGTAATTCTGAATCTGAGCAATCGTTGTTACCTCAAATCCATCCCAAACCCATGTATTCATGCCCACATCCTTGTTTTGACACTGCCCCATGGCAGACCCAAATACTATTCTTTTGGCAAACTTGACTGCTACAGTTGCTGCTTTTGCATAAGGCACACGCAGAGGGACTGACATCTTCCTCGGGAACCTTCCACTACTCCTTGAGAATTGATTAGTTTTTACTTTATTTATTTATACATTTCATAAAGCAATTTCATTTTTTTATATTTTTAGGTTTTTTATATTTTCAATATGCATTTCCTGGTGACTTGTCTCTTGGCTGACTGAGTCAGACACTGATATGTTTACTTATTTGACTTTCATATCATGCCCATGCAACATTGGGAGTGACTTTTGCTTGTCCATCTCAGCATTCTCATATAAATATATTTTTCCCTAACTACCTAAAGATTTTTTTTTTTGTTGAGGAACCACCTATGATTCTTACTGAAAAGCGTAATAATTTATTTATAATATTGGTCATCCAATGAGAGATGCACCTCTCCATCTTAACCATTATGCATTTGTTTTATAGATAATACAATATCATATTCTGCAAGCACTCCCTATTGCCGAACAATTAATCCAAGGTAACAAGACCTTTTTTGATGGGGACCATTTTTAGTTTATCTCTGATTAGAATAAATTTTATTAAGTAGTATATTTTTTTGTTAAAATCATAAGTTGTCAAATGACAGTTTCATGGTTTTATTTTAATTTTCTAGATTGTTCGGGAAGAGAAAAAGGAAAACCAATAAAGAAAAAGACGAAAGAAATTTAAACTTGATTCATTAAAGTTTACAAATCTTGATGAAAGTTTTCAACTCTACAAGAAAGTTCTGTCATTTAACGAAGATGAAAGCCCATCACTTGGACATATTATGTAAAAGAAAGATTTCTCCAAATCATCTAAAAAGATTATTCTAATAAATTTATCTCCTTTGAAAAAGGAACTAGTATATGATTTATTTTCTTAGATGTAATTGTAAAACCAAAAAATGATTGAATGAATTGGTTTTTTTTTCTTACATAATATTATCAGTAGTGTGATACAATATTTTAATTTTCGATGGTATAATTTCATTGTATACATGTAAGCCATATGGAGGTATGAAACTTTTGTTCCTGAAGGTTTCTTGTTGAGCTGGAGTAAGTCTGATAAATATCCTTGTTCTTTTTTATCTTTTCCTATTATCATTTTTTCTATTCCTCTCTTTTTCCCCTTTCTATTCTTTTCTTTAAAAGGAAACTTCCTTTTCTCATTATAATTTATCCTGCATCAGGCTTACTAGCAGAACTATGTGAAAGTTTGTGCTGATGGTATACAAGTACTTTTAGACCTCCAGTTTTTTACCATGGATGGTATGAATAACCTTTTAAGGCTTCATGCTGGAACATAAAACTGTGTAGACCTCAGGAAGGTTAGAGCTGTTGATACTAGTAATTGCAGGTTATTTTTGTATGAGTTTTGTTTCTACAAAAAAAAGTGGAGTGCATTGCTTCAATAAAATGCAGTAAAGTAAAAAAAATAAAAATAAATACGATGGATTTTTTTATTCTAATTGCTTCATATTTTTCTGATGAAAGCTGAGATTCTTACAGAACATATTTATCTATTTAGGTTGCAATTGATGTAAGTAGAAGTTTAATGTATTTTACTCTTTTTTATAATCCGTGCCATTTACCATATGCTTGCTTGTTTTCTGGGAATGACCTTTTTGCATTACTCTTCTTGCAGTCCTGATTTTAGAAACGTCTTGGAGATATCTCTCAACAAGGTAGTTGATATCCTGACCGAGGATGTAGGCATACATGTTGGAGGGACAAGCTCTTCAGGAGTTCCCTTGGCCAAACTATTGCCGCAAATCACATGGCTAAGCTTGCCTCTACTCGGTGAGCCCGGCGACAACAAATTTGTGCAGTCTGTTCGAAGCTTACCGGAGGTTGAACTATTCTACACTCTTCTTTATGCAAACATGCCATTGGCAACTTAAGTGAATTAGGAAATGAAACTGATGATTTTAGTTGATGCAACTGCTCTTTGTAAAAGCTGCTCTCTTGCGCATCCATTGGAGTCTCAGCAATCTGGGATGAAAAATGGAGAAGGAAGTTGTGCACAAGTCTGTTAAATTGTATATGTAGTGATTATTCTTTTGTCAGTGGTTTTCAATATTGAGTTTCCATTGAGTTTTGCTTTTTCACTTAACCAGTAGGAAGAGTGAGTGGTGTTGAACTCTCTGAATACATGCATGGATACGAGCTCTTTATTGCTTGCTGATGTTTCTTTCATACCTACCTGTTAAAAGGTTTCAATCTCTGCACCATAAATTGTTCGCAGCAAGGTGCCCGACGTAATGTTTGTATTTTTCATATTTTATGTATCATGTTAGCGGTCTTATTAAGGTTGGGTTTTATGGTTTCTGGTTTGTAATCGTTGTTTGCATGTGGTCGTGTAAGGTAAAATTGTTTGAGAATGGAGTCTTTGGCTTGCAACTTGTAGGGATTTCCTAGAATTGAGATGCCATCAAAATGTCAATTATCTCAATATCTTGGAACACTCGGATGGAATACGGTTGAATGGGGCTTTGAGGTAGTATCCTGGGTTGAGCCATAGTTTAGTTTTGTAGTAGTGTCGCATTGGCATTTGTACATGATAACTTTGGAACAGTTGGTTGTGTTGGTTTTTTTATCGTATGATTGTTTAGAGCTAGCGAAATCTATCTTCGTACTTCATATGATTTATAAAATATATATTCACTTCATTGTTATGATAATTTTCTCATCATTTGCTTTCTCACTTATTTATTTCTTTTTCTCTTTGTTATCTTATATATGAGCTCTGCACAATTTTTAAGTCCCTTCTTACTTAGAAAAATATAATATTTGTCAAATATCCAATGTTGGTGATAGTGACATAAAAAAAAAAATAAGGCGATGCAACTTAGAGATGATGCCTAAGTAAAAAAAAAATCTATTAGGCAAATTTTGTGGAGAAGGTCTTAAAACTTTAAATTATGTAACGTCATGTTTATTTAAGTTTCAATATGCATCCATCTAGCTCAATCGATACAAAACAATTGACAGATTAGTGCATAAAAATAAATATCATTTTTCTTCATCTAAAGAGATCCATAATAACCAACAAAAATCAATAGAACTAGATGAATCCCACACCAAAGTCACATTCATAGATGAGTTGAAATAAAATTAACAAATCAAGAATCAACTACTCAATATTAATGTGTAGAGAATAGTTGAGACCCATGAGGTACATGCAATCGAAGGAGTATTAGAGATGCAACATTTGCAAAGTCTTTAACGAGAATATAAAAAAAAAAGTGGAGGAGAATGTCATAGATTATTCGCAAAGAAAATGTTCAATATAATGTTCGTATTTTTTGATTCGTTCATAACTTAGGTAGTATATAAAGAGTTAGCAATAGGCTTGAAGTCTCATTTTAGTTAGGTTTTGTAGATGTATCTAGTTTGTAATTATAACTTATATGTAATTATCATGTAGAGTTAAAATTGTCCAAAAACGAAGTCTTTAACTTATAACTTATAATGGTTTCATATAGTAGAGTTGTACTCAAAATGTCAAGCATCTCAACACCCTTAAAAGCTCTTGGGTGTCGCTTGCTCTTGCAATAGTATCATATTGTTATTGGAAAGGGAGAGAAAAAATTTTAAAAAATCAAAAAAATATCAAGAGATTAACAATCAAGAGCATACCCAAAAAAATCAACGTTAGATTAATGTCTATGTCCATGGAGAAAATCAAATTCTTCACAATACAAGATTAATTATAAATCTCTTTCAGTTACCAAATTTCTTTACACACTCTCTCTCTCTCTCTCTCGCATAAACCCCATAGAATTTATCTTTTCTCTCACCCTCTCTACCCTTTCTAAACATCTTAAAGCTAGAGAGTATCTTTTCTAAATACTCTAAAGAGAGTTTCAAGAGTACCATAAGTATTCCTTAAATCTTGCTCTCTATTTAAAAAAATTTAGAGATATATAAGATATCTATAGAAGAACCAAATCATAATAATTATGAAGACTTCGTTCATAAGACATTTATTTCAAAAGTTTTAAGATACTTATCATCTCAACATATATTGACGCTTATGCTATGTAGGTTTCATCGCAATGAGTGCTTTGGAGTCAATATGGTGCGATTGTTTAGAATTTATAAAATCTAATTTTATATTATGCATCATCAATTGATTATCTTAATGTCTATAGGTCCTCCACTTAATAGTTTGTTCATGTGTTTGGTTGTTTACAAATCCATTTCTTTTCCCTACAAGCCCCTATTGGATGGACTGCACATCGGCTCTTCATGTGAATAATCCCTATATATCGCTTAATGTGATTAAAACCAGCTCCGACTAATAAGAACAATGGTATCAACTTACACCATTAAACAAAGCTTGCATCGACAGCTACAGCTTTGGCCACATCCATGAGATCAACAAAATAACTCAAAAGGAGGCATGTGCTTGAATTAATTTGTCTTAACAAACGAGAGAGTTCAAACATTGCCACCACTCTCATGATATCAATCTAAAAAGACCAAAAAAAAAAAGAAGAGAAAACATGACTCTGATCATAACAATCAAGATCTTCGTAACGATAGTAGTCGAAAACGACTCCGAGAAATCTCTCACCACTTTAAACTACCAATACCGATACAGAAACAGCGCAAGGGGTTGGTCTCGAGGGTAGTAGTCAGAGTCAGCATCGATCCAAATTGGATCATGTTCAAAAAATAATACAGAAAAAGAATCAATAATTGCCCTCGACGATAATGAGCCAATAATGTCCATGAGGAAAAAACTAAGACACAGCCCAGCTCAGCTCCACAAAATCTGGCAATGGATGCATCTCACAGTACGACGGCAGCCTTGTCCTGGGAAATAAGAGGAAGAGGATTGGCTATTAAAGGCTCGTAATGGTCAGCTCCCGCACCACACCAACCTGTAACACACCACATGTAGATTGTCTTTAACATTTAGAACAAGGACAAAGGACAAGAGAAGAGACTGACATCTAACTGCACTTGTCAAAGCATACAACTTGTCATAGGATGAATACACTGCATACCCAGAATAAATCAAAAGCAACAGTAGATGTTTGTACGGTTAACCATCACCCACATAATTCATATTCTGATAATTTTGGTAAAATTATGGCAAGATTGCATATTTAGCAGATATAAAATTATAATCGGAAATTTTGAGGCATGGCACTTTGTCTAGATCTATTTTGACAGACATGTGAATTATCTAAAACAACATGAATTATAACTATTCGGTAATGTCACTTGAAGTTTCAAATATTAGAAGATAAACTATAAAAAAAAGCCTTAAATAAAAAGCTCATATCTAAAAGTCTACATGTCAGGTCTACCAAATCATTGACAATGCTCAATTCACCACCGATCTTGGAATCTTCAAGATGTTGACAAACCTTGAATCAGTCCATAGAAGTAGGATCAGGAGCAGGTTAAACTGGTCCCAGCAACTAAACGAATTTAGCAGTCCAATGACAAACCCAACCTAAGTTGATGACACCATGCTAGGCTATATGCTACTTGGAACATTTCAGCACACATTATCTGAAAAGCTCAGAAAGACAAACATTCGAGGCAACAACAATTGCCCACTTGTTTGAACAGTCATATATTAGAAACAACTGTGATGCATTCAAGAAAGTACAACACATAATGATGAAAAAGAAAACCTGTCCTACACTGATGCTCACACTTTTTCTTTCTTCAAAAAGTAAATTGTAGAAGCTATAAACAGTCTAAAACATAAGTTAATAGCAATAATTAATCTCGGGCTTAAGTTAAAAAAAATTAAAGAAGAGGATGATGGGCTTGAAGGGGCTGGAATTTCAAGTGTGAGATCTATGAAATTGTATAAGGTTTCGCCAGGAGAGTAGAATATAGCAACAACGAAAGCAATACAACTTAAATTGGGAGGAATAAATTACAACATGTTAACCAGAACAGAGATCGAATATCAGGCATTGCACCATATTGTTGCAAAATTATGTTTACCTGTTCCCTTCATAAACAGAAAAATGGGAGGTTCACAAATTTGAACCCTGGGACTGTGGGGGAGAAAGAAGACGCAATCGTTTTCATCCACCATTGCATCCGACCCATGTGCTTGAACCTGAAAAAGTAACAAAGACGACAAAACACAGGAGGCACAACTTAGCAATCATGAAACAGGGTTTCGTAAAATTAATAAGCGGCCTTAGAATAGACTTATGGACCAGAAGAATAAACAGACTACTTTATCAGAGCATGACACTCACCACATATACTTCCCGTCGGAACTCTGTTGCCAAGCTCTCAATGGCAATATCATCGCCAAAAGCTGCAGCATGGCCATTCCGATTCTCATCTATGCTTAACAACCCCTCCTCTGTGTATTGTAATGTAATGATGTCATACTCATCCTCCGGAGAGCCAGAGATGGACATGTACTTTGCCCAACTTAGCCCATCATTTATGGCCATGCATCTCTCTTTATAAATAGATTCTGCTGCCCCTTCCCTTCAGTCAATTGAGAAGTAAAGTCAGCAAACAAATACAAACATCTCGCACAAATTTCTCTTATCACAATCTGTGAATCTTTAGAACTCATCCAAAAATTCATTGTTTCCGAATTCAATTAGAGAACTACTAAATGAAGCAAGATTTAAAACATACATTTTTTATTTACAAGATGTGGCATGATTTTGTAATCAGACGATAATCTTTTGTTTTTTTCTTTTGGCGAGCCACAAAAGGGATATTCATGATATATGTGAATAAAAAAAAAGAATGGTGTTTTCAACAGTAAAAGCTAGAATATATTCAAGAAATTTTGATTTCACAAAGCTCAGCCCAAGATCTTGATTTCCTAATAATAGTTAGATGAGAACATAATGCTAGTTTCACACAACAATGTTCCTTCAAGCTCAAGATGATTTTGACTACGTTACTCTAATACAAGAAAGTGATGGGACAGGGTCAACCATGAAAAAAACCAAGTTTAGCCAACTTGGACAGACAAGATGGGTTGGGCAGCTAAAGTCAAGTCAAGTTTCACTTATCATGCACCAACTGTTACCCAGTGTCCTCTATGGTTAAGTACAATAAAATGACCTTACCTGGTCCCATGACATCGACTTTAGCTAATATACGGACAAGATTAGCCTAACTATACACAAATGGAAAGCAATAATTTCATTTGAAATAAAACGTTTGAAGCATCAGCACAAGTTTGGTGCATCGGTGCATATGTCGACAATGAAAAAAATCTGAATATGCCATGAAAAAGTAGATAAAAACTTCTTAAACCTCTTCGTCAAGAATGCAGCTGACAGACATATCAGAAAATAATCTTGTATGATCCTGAAAAAAATCAGCGCTCTCTGGCAATGTATTACCCTTGCCTTTTCTGATACCTTCCAAATAGCAAATGAGTATGCAACAAAGTCGATCCACAGTATTAAGAAATGCCGCAGATTATATATATTGTAGAATTTCCACAAGTATGAAATTGAAGACAAACGATAACAAGCATAAACTGCAAAACAATACGAGAAAATTTTCCAAAGAAAAGAAAGAAACAATAAATAGAATTAAGAACGTACAAATAGATCTAAGCGTCGAAAGATAAAGAACGTTTAGTAAAGAAAATTAGTTAAATAAAAAAGGAAAAGGCGATGATGCTATACCTTTGGAGTCCTAGATCTACGAGCTCCTGAATGGAGGCATCCAAGCCCTCGCGATCCGCCTTCTTCGCTAGGAGCTTCACCTCCTGCACGACGTGAATGCCCCACCCAGCCTTCAGATCCGGCGAGTACAAGTGCCGGATAGCCACGTCTGCCGCCTCCCTCGCCGCACCGTCCGCCGATCCATAGTCCTCCAAGAACCGCCGCACCGCTCGCTGCCGCAGCTCACGCGCCCCGGCCGTCTTGGGCCCCATCGCCCTCCGCGCCGCCGTGAACAGGCAGTTTCCGTCCGCCTCCACGTCACCGCCGTGCTCCAGCCGGAACGCCACACCGGGGGCCTCCGCATCGCGCGGGTTCTTCCAGAAGACCCCCCGCGCGTGGATCTTCTCGAGCCGCCGTCGCTGCTGCTCGTCCAGCCCGGAGACGGCGGCCCACGCGAAGGCAGCTGTCGCCGGATCGGCGGCCTCTGGTGTATGGATCGGGTCCGGGTCCGGCCACTGGAGGAGGGACGGCGATGGGTTTAGGGTTTCGGCGACGGCGGCGGAGTTGGAGAGGAGCTTTCCCATTTCGGGTTCCGATCTCGCTTTCCTCTTCTTTTTTCTGTCCCTTTTTTCTCTCTCCTTAGCGTTTAGAGAGAGGAGAGAGAGAGAAGGGGGGAGGTAGGTAGGTCGGGGACAGATTACCGTTGTTGGAAGTGAACGGACGCGTGGAGGAAGGTTATAGGGTACAGTGGTTTGGATGAGGTAAAATGCGCCGTCGGGACAGGATAAGGCGTGAGGTAACCGTTAGGGGCTGAGGCGATCTGCTCGATTCATTCGATTAGGTCTTTTCGGCACGCGGTTTTTAGTTCTTTGCAGCTGACGTCCGTAAAGCAGGAAACTCTCTTACTTCACGACAAAGCACCTGCCATTCGTTGAAATGAGTGGGTCCCACAGAACGGGGGATGAGGGCCGTAGGCTGAAGTTTGGATCACAAGTTCCTGTTTCAAGACAAATAGCCCATCAAAGCGACGTGTTTGGTCACCACTTGGGGCTGATTTGACTTTGACTGGGGAAGGGCAGGGGAAGTTTTGGCTTGCGGTGGCAACGAGGAACCATTTCATGTGAAGCCGGCTTACGATACGCTGATTGGGCACAAAGTCGAACGTCTCTTTACACGGACGGCAAATTCTCCACGTTTTATACATGCCACGTTTGAGATACTTATTTGCCACAATTTCGTGTTTGCGGTTTGGTGTGGCGTTCTCAGAAAGGAGCGATAAGATGAGCCTGGAGATTCGTGCCGTGTGGTAGACGGCACGAGTGCTCGTGGGGATGTGCGAGCAGACCGTGTTGGGTGGTTGTTCGGCCGTCACTTACCCTGACGTCGGCGGATGGACGATGGCGATGCCTCGCTTAATGGCCGTCGGCCACACCTCACGGAAGCCACCAGTGTGACGCGTTTCCCACGTGCAGGGAAGCTTCGAGAAGCATCGCTCACACAGCAGATCCGCTGCGGGCCGTTGGCACGACGTACCCCGTGTGTTGGATATGATGGTGACACGTGTTCATCAAGAAAATATCTTTTATACTAACAGTAGATATCAAAATGAGGTAACTAATCTTTTAGCCCTTTCCTAAATTAATGTTTGGGTGAACTTTTATTAAAAAAATTTAACTGAGATTTTTTCGAATAATATCATAATTAAAAAAATTCTATAGGCACCCTTGGTAATTTTATCTTTACCTCCATCGTCGTTTTACACTTTGCACCATCATCTCATTCTTCCTACATTAACTTCATCATTATCTTTAGGCCTTTGGGATACCATAAGTATCTACGTCAACCCTAGGCATTCAATCACTTATCACGAGCGTTAACAAACTTGTGTGCAGAGATGGCCAAAGGCGTTGTAAAAAATGGGCATCTATTTTGGATGAAGTGAAAGCGACTAGTAAAGTCAACTTATACGTAGGGACATAGACAACCAAGCGATGAGAGGTAGTTGTTAGGTCCAATGAGGGTGAGATCTTTTCAATTGTTCATTGTTGTGCATGACCACTCCTGCATTATGAGTAATGAGCAACTGTTTAGAGGGGGTGATCGATAAGACAGAGAATGATGGTCAATGATTAATTTTTAAAAGATAAAATTATAAGTAAAATTTTTAAAATCGAGACATTATCTGAAAAATTATCAAAATTGAAAATTTTTTTTTCTGAGAATTTGTGCTTAATATTTTGTTACAACCATTGATCGAAATACATTTTAAATGTTAAATTAAATATATCATATTGAATTTAGAACCAGTTGACATAATAAATTAGTTCACCGGTAATTACTAGTAAAGCATTGACTTCATTTAGATGTCGTTTCCCGATTAGTTAATTGAGCTTTATAATGCACGACAACAATGGGTTTTTTCCCAAATGTTACGTCCATTCATGATAAATTTGATGTCGTATGAACTTGCTAGGTTCGAACTTTAAAGCTTTAAGATAGACTGGGCCGGATTCTTTTAGGCTCAGCCCAATATTTGGACCGCGTACAGATCATTTACTTCGTAAGAGTGCTAATTAAGTACTGAATGAGTGAGAGATTAGTGATAATGAGTGAGAGTTTCATTCTCACCCATATATTTCTGTATTTGTTTTTTTGGCTTCTCCTTTCCTTCTCTCCCAAGTTGAAGATATGGTGAATGGTATAGCAACTGCATGTTTCACTTGAAGTATCTCAGAGGGAGTTTCCCCTTTAGATTCTGTGCATCTGCAATTTTATCCCTTAATATGCATCACCAACTTCAGACCAAAAAGAAATGATTTTGTTTGGATTGGCAGCCAGTTCTGAACAGTCAAACAAGACATATTACTGTGTTTCAGAAAATAAATAGTACCAAAATTCCCATCGGAGAAGAAGAACACAGCATTTTCACAGCAAACTGGAGTTATACATTCATTAGTGCTGCAGAATACCACCTTTGCTTCATTGCCATATGAGTTCAGTCTTCATAAGCTTCAGTCTGCAAGAGCTATCTGAACCAGTGGATGCCTTTTCTGCAGAATATTTCTGAACCAGGCAGCTTCCATTGGTTTTAAGGCCAAAATCTCATGCGAGTTCCAATTGAAGTCACTTGAAACACCAAGTTTGAGATCCTCACCGTCTTGTTCTCTTGATGGATGTTGAGAATGGCTCTGTTCTTGACACATAGTGATCACTTGGACGTTCCTGGAATCAAGAGGTAGCACCACAGATCACAAATGTCAACATGATTGATTCAATATCGCTGTGCGAGTACAACGCTTTCCCCCTGCTGCTGCTGCTGCGGCTATCCAATTCTTCTGTCCCCAACGGGGTTTGCGAGGAACCCTAGCCTTTTCGTAAATATATCCAAAAAAAACAACGTCGGGGGCCCACTCGGCTGACCAAAATCTACGGACATGATGGAGGAATAATTGTTCGCAGGAGGAGCCGATGGGGCCCGTCCGAGTCAGCGAGGATGGACGTATCTGACGCGAGGGTACACCTCCCACGTGACACCCACCTCCCGTCCCGTGACGAACGGGGAATCTGGACTTCTGCCCGCCGTCCGATCGACTGGATGTCAGTGCGACCCGACCGTCGCATTTACGCTAATCGCTATTCCTTTTGTGGGACCTCAACTTTTGTGCATACGTACGTATATATACGTGTGTATATACACTCTTGTGGGACTCACCGGTATCTTCTCCTTGTCAACGTGTTAAGACGGGCGTCGGGCGGTCTTGGCGAAGAAGGGTCACGTAGGGGGGGGCGGATGTGAGCCGAGATCCGCCGCGGAGCTTATGCCTCGTGATTCGGACTCTGCATACATCGAGGCTCCAAGTGCTGCGAACAAGGGCGGGGAGACGGTGCTGCTGGCGGTGGCGTTTGCAGTCGCCGAGACGGCCACCCCCGCCCCCCGCCACCACTCGAGGCTCCCGTGGCCTACTTAGAAACTCGCCAAGGCGAAAAAGCAACACCACCAGCACGCACCTCAAGAAGGAAAAGGGGTGGTGGTGGGCCGGCACCGCTGCTGCTGCTGCTGCTGCTCCGCCTTGGAATGGCTGCAGATACTACCCATGTCATCAGGTAAACGAATGCCATGTATGAGAAGAACAAAGAAGGCGGCGTTTCATACCACATTCTCTATATCTGAGAAGTTGCATGCCCTTTACGGAATTGTTTCTTTTGGGGTGCACTATACGGATCATTATACTGCCACAGTTTATGTATATGCATTCACACAAACCGAGAGGGAGTAATTTGCAGAAGTTTCACCGTTTTGGCACATTTGCTGACAGTTTGCAATGTTGTCTGCAAATTCGTCATGTACTTCATGTAAATCATATATCACAAGTAACCATATAGTCCGTCTTGAGAAGCTTTTGAGTAAATGCAAATGTAGAGGATAAGTGGAAAGGGTCAAATAAGCAGGCAGAGAGATCATGGCCTTAAAGATAGGCCAAGTTATGAGGAGAGATGAAAAGTGTTTGAGACGAGCAGGTGATGTCAGACGCGTCGCCTTTACCACCTGATCTTATTGTGTGTCTACGAGCTGAATTGACTCTCTGCACCTTGGTGATTATATAACAATGTTTTCTTCTTCTTTTCATAGGTTTGACAATAAATGAAGAGACTCGGAATTCCCCGTCAATGAGAAAATGGGCGAGCAACGAAATGATGTTTCACAAGGCAGGCAAAAGGGAAAGCTATTTATACATTAGCATGGAACAACTACATATTTCCAGATGGAATTTTACCCATACTAGCAGAAAATAAAGCAAGAAAGAGAAACTAAAATGAGAAAACCATAGCGCCTAAGAACAAAAAAGAAGAAGAAGATATATATCCAACATGAGATTAATATGGCATCATTACACACTGAGTGATCTCTCTCTTCTTCTTGTCTTACATCACAGCGCAAGCGTTGGGGTTCTCATCGCTGAACATCTGTGGGGGATACGCGTATCCCACGTATCCCCCGGGATATCTCGGGTAGTACTGGTAGAACTCGTTTCGCACCAGCTCCACCACCTTGGTCGCCGGTGCCGCCCCGTCCTCCGCCGCTCCGCCGCCTTCCTTCTTGTCCTTCTCGTCTCCTCCTCCTTGGCCACCGCCGCCGTCCTTCTCTTCCTTTTTCTCGCCCTCGGCATTGCCCCCGCCGGCCTCGTCCGCTTTCTTCTCGTCTTTGGCCGCGTCTCCACCGCCGCCCTTGTCGTCCTCCGCCTTCTTCTCCGCCGGCTCCTGCTTCGCCACCACCGCCTGCTTCCCGGTCCTCTTGTACACGTACTCCCCCAGCTTCTGCGGGTCGAAGACGCCCTTCACCGTCACTTGGGACGCCTTCAGATCCGGTTCCGCCGCCTGCACCCCTGTTCGATTCGCCACCGAACAAAACGGGCAAGGAAAGAAGAAAGATCGAATCTTTAGTCGAAATCAGCTACAAGGGACGAATCTTTGACAGCAATCTCCAAGTTAAACACCCTGACCAGAAGATTAATGTTCTATGTCAAGAAAGAAAAGCGACAAGTAGACTTGTTTGCTCTCTTTTACTGAGAATCGAATTGACTTTTGATGGAGATACAAAGGTTTGAAACAGGGTATCAGAATATTCATCTTGGTCTGTAATGATATCAGCAAAACAGAAAGCTCTCGAACGGAAGAGAAGCAGAGGAGGGAACCTTTCATCTTTAGTAT